CCCCACGCATTGGATGCACCATCACTGTAAAGGACCCAGAGGTCGGGTTGCCTAGGGGAGGTATGGGAAGCTTCTTACTCGACCTCGAGCATTATTTTGGCACTGCAATCGGCGACTAAGTCGGCGAGTACTTGCAATTTTATCGTTGTTCGTGGTTGATATCGTGCTCGCTCAGTTCTATGGCCCACTTGGACTTCCTGACAATTCGGGTTTATGTAGGATGCTCCGCAAAGGGAAGGTTGTCACCACTGATATGGGGTGGCACTGAAAATAGGGTCTAAGCTTTCGTAAAGTTATGACCAGTGCTAAGGCCAACTTCTCGAGTGGGGGTACCTCGTTTCGGCATCGACTAGGGTTTTGCTAATATAATAAATTGGATATTGCGTACCTTTGTTCTCGTGAACCAGCACCGCACTTTCCGCAATTTCTAAAACAGCCAAATATACTAGGAGGCGTTCGCCGGGCTCTACTTTGGCAAGTAGTGGGGGCGAGGACAAGTATGCCTTTAGTTCTTTTAAGGCGTCGATGCATTCTGAATTCCACTGGAGCCCGTTGTCTTTTTTCAGCACGTTGAAGAATTTGTGGCATCTGTCAGATGATCGCAAGATGAATCTTGACAGGGAGGCTTACAGCCAGTCAGTTTTTGCACTTGTTTCTTGTTGGTTAATACTTTAGGTATTCCTTCAATGGCTTTGATTTGATCTGGGTTGACTTTGATGCCTCTTTGTGATACCACGAAACCAAGAAATTTGCCCGAGGTTACACCGAAGGCATATTTTTCGGGGTTTAGTTTCATGTCGTACTGCCTTAATATACCGAAGGCTTCTTTCAAGTGATCGATGTGGTCCTCTTTCCTTTTTGACTTGACCAATATATCATCGATGTAAACTTCCATTGTTTTACTGAGTTGATCTTTGAACATCTTGGTGACCAACCTTTGGTACGTTGCCCCCGCATTCTTGAATCCGAATGGCATGACTCTATAGCAGTACGTTCCCTGATGGGTGATAAAAGTAGCTTTCTCTTAGTCCTCCTCCTCCATTAGGATTTGGTTGTAACACGAGTAAGCGTCCAAGAAGCTTAGCAATTTGTGTCATGTTGTTGTGTCGATGACATGGTCTATGTGAAGCAATGAAAATGAGTCTTTTGGGCATGCCTTATTTAGGTCTGTGAAATCTACGCACATCCGCCATTTTCCATTTTTCTTTTTTACCATGACCACATTGATGACCCACTGGGGGTATTTTGATTCCCGGATTGAGCCGTTGGCGAGGAGCTTATCTACTTTATCACTTACGGCCTCATTGATTGCGGCATTGAATTTCCTTCTTATTTGCTGCATTAGTGGATAGAGTGGGTCGACATTCAGCTTGTGTGTGGCCACGTCTTTCGCAATACCTGGCATATCTGCATGGGAGAAAGCAAAAAGATCGGCATTGTCAATTAAAATCTTGTGAAATTTACCTGGTTCTGAGAGCTTATGTCCGATGTAAGCCTTTTTGTTTCTACCGCTGTTGTTCAGTTGGACGGGATCGAGATCTTCTACCGTTGATTCAGCAACTTCCACGATGTCGGGGTCCCTGATGACGTCTGTTTGTACGTCGAGTTCAGTCCCCGACTTTGGTAATTGTTATGCCTCTGCATTTGTTCCCTTCAACTGATGGGTGTACGTGCAATCCTGGGCGATACGATGGCATTCTTGGGTGGTGCATTGTTCGCCCTGGATATTGAATATTCCTTAGGGAGTAGGGAACTTGATTACTTGATATAGGCATGACGGGATGGCCCTCATGGCGTGTATCTATGGCCGTCCTATGATGGCGTTGTAACCTGTGTCTTAGTTCATGACATGGAATCTTATTTCTAGGGTGACTCCCCCGGCCAAAACAGGTAGCGTTATCTCCCTAGAGGTTCGTTCAACTACATTGTTAAAACATGTTAGTGTTATACAATGCGATACTATCTTGTCTTCGAGTCTCAGATGTGCGAGGACTTGAGGGTGGATAATACACGCGCCGCTTTCGTTGTCTACCATTATTCTTATTACATCGGTATCGGAAATATGTAAAGTAATAATAAGAGCATCAAAATGAGGGAAAGTCAAATCGTCGGTATCCGACTTATCGAAGATGATACTGTCTCCGAGGTCGTCGGACCGTTCGTGGGTGACCGACCGTTTCAGTTTCTGTGTAATGGTGAACTTCACATGGTTTATTGTCGCTTCATCGCCTCCACCGATGATCATTTGGATGGTGCGAGTGGGGGAGGTTGGCTTTGGAGGTCCCTGGTGTTGTTCACGTCCAGGGGAAAAGTTGGCTCGTCCACGATCGCTCATCAGTTCCCTCACGTGCCCTTGGTTCAACATGTTTACTACCTCTTTCCGTAGAGCTATGCAGCCTTCGGTTTTGTGACCCTGCTCCTGGTAGAATTCACAGAGAACGTTCGACTTCTGAGTACTTGGGTTGGACTTCATCTTTTGTGGCCATTTCACCTTTGTGCCAAGCTTCTCTAGTGCGTACATTATTTCTGAAAGAGAAACACAAAAATTATAAGCGGATAAGAGTTGAGGCATACCTCTTTTGTTTCGCTGAGTCCCTGTGTGTGGCTTGGGCGGCCCTTCCGTATGTCGATGAGACTGTGGGACGACTATTCTGACGTAGGGTTGCTGTCTTTCTCGGTTGAGACAGGGGCCTGACTGATCCCTTCGACCATTGTTACGATGATCTTTCCTTGATTTTACTTGAACTAACATTAGTCGTTGGGTCGGACCGTTAAGGTCATCCTCGTCGGCTCTCACCTCGGCACAATAGGCATTATGGATTTCTTCCCAAGTGGTGGGAGGGTATTTCATGAGCCTGCTTAATAGTTTTCTAGTTGCTCTTGACCCGTTCCTGCTTAACCCATTCTGGAAGGCCGCTACCGCCATCCTTTCTGATACATTTGGTAGGCTCATTCTCACCCTGTTAAACTGGGCGAGGAAGTCCCTGAGTCCCTCGCCAGGAGATTGCCTAACAGAGAATATGTCATTCACCCTAGCTTCCGCCTTTTTAGCCCCTGCATGGGCGGTGACAAACTTGTCGGCCATTTCCTCGAACGTTGCTATTGATCGCGCTGGCAGTTGTGAATACAAGGTTAAGGCTCCCCCTGTCAAGGTTTCGCCGAACTTTTTTAGTAATACTGATGGTACTTGCTCCTTCAAAAGATCGTTGCCATTCACCGTTGTGACGTAGTGGATGATGTGATCTTCTGGGTCTGTAGTACCATCGTATATCTTTAGGTACGGTGGTATTTTGAAGGTTTTGGGAATAGCGTGTGGAGCCGTTTCCTCGTTGTACGGTTGTTCGACGAATCGACCAATGTCTCGTTTTGGTAGTAACTTTGGGGCGAATTTATCGACCCTTTCTTGATGCTCCCTCATCTGGTCACGGAGCACCTTGTTTTTGTTTTCCATTTCTTCCATTTTTTAGAACGGCTGCTAGCGCATCATTACCTGCATCAACAGTGGGGTAAGTGTTTCATGTTTGAGGAATGGGCTGCTTGCCGGTGGTTGTTATGATATCTGCTTGCGCGGTATTTTTGTTCTCCCTTTGAGCAGGTCTGTCGAGTATAATGTTTAAAGTGTTTGTCAGCCACTCTTCTAGTAATTTTTTCACTACTGGTGGTGCTTCTTCAGCTGTAGATGTGGAGGCTCCCCTTTCGCGTGAAGGTGTCACGCTTTCGTGAGGGGAGGTGAAGCACTTCGCCTCGGCATAGTGTTTGGTGTCACATTTTCATTGTCTTCCCTGCCATCTTCGTTAATGGTGTTCAAAATGTTGGTGGTGACGCCTGCTATTGCTTTCAGTCTTGCATCGCCTTTTCCTGCCATTGTTAGTTCGTGCAAACGAAGAAGAGATGACTGTTTTTTTTATGATCTAGAAAGAACTATAGTTTCAACTAAAAACCTCCCCACAGACGGCGCCAAATTGTTTGAGCAAATAATTGCTAAACCAATTAATAATAAATTAGAAGGGACGAATCCTTGAACTTAATAAATTCTAGATCGAATAAAATAAAGCTCTTGTATAGCGATTAGAGTTTAGGAGCATTAAACAATGAACTTAATGTGCTATGATTGATAATACATGCTATAGCATAAATGTATAATAAATGTGAGTAATGACAAGGATTATAACGGGAAAGGAACTATCACCTAATGATTATATGATTGGAATGTTCCTTTTCTCTGACGACGACATGGAAAAGCGAGAGGTCAAAATGTGTATGGGATCTTGAGATTTATGGATCAAGGTTGAACAACATGTGCTTGAATAAATGAATAAGACAACTCTTTCATATATTCTTCCTTTCAACTTTTACAATATGTTCCCAGTTCAGAAAAAAAAAGGCAGA